TCGGGCTCGGACACAAGGTGCACGGGCTCGGGTAGGGTCGGGTTTAATTTTTTGGGCCCGATCTAAGCTCTAGTTTGCTGCTACCCTATAGGTCACGGATGCCCAACCTTTTTTCACAATCACAGCTACTTTTGCAAGGAAAATACCAAATCGTGACGGTAAGTTTTGCTGCCAACAGGGTCGGAGAGTCCCCCTTGGTAATTTTTGCCGATCACAATCAACCAGTTGCCCACCAATCCTGATATAAAGCAGGGATTGCCAGCTCCAGTTCTGGAGAGCTAATTTTCAATAGGTTTTCCATCCTACCTGGCTTCTGATGAGCCGCACCTGTCCCTGATACTTACCTGCGTTGGAGACCTCTGATATAAAGCGTTATCCGGAGCGGACTGACCCGATTTGCAAATCCAGCAGCCAGCGAATGTGCTATGAAGTGCTGCTTCAGTTTGTTTGTCTCCCCAAAAACTGCATCCACCAGTGGCCAATGAATGTGATCCTGTACTGGACGAATAGCTGGATGTAGACCTACTGCATCAAGGGTAGTAATTTATAGCTGGAATAACATGAAAGTATCTAATAAGCCATGTAGTCACTGCATTTGTGAGCCATTCCCTAGTAAGGGATAAGCCACGATCATGATTACCACAGAGCATAATGGTAAGAAATATTACAGTAAGCAGGAGAAAATCTCAAGTGAATAATCTAAAGCAGGGGAGAGTATTTTTGATGGACTGGTATCCAGCCCGGGTGTCCTTTATGCTTAGTACTGCCTGGGACAGACTGATGATGATGGTGATGATGATGATGATGATGATGATGATGATATGAAGACGTTGATGAGATGCTGGCCTCAGACCTTACTGACTCTTTCAGCTCCTCATCCACTGTTCCAAGAGGAATGCTTTTGTGAGTCACAGATCAGGATTCCACTAAGTTCCCTAAAGCAGTTGTTTAACAAATGAGTTATTTCACCATGTGCTTACTTCTGTATGCTCTTTACTGAAGAAGTTCATTATACATACAGTATGCAGGTATAAAAAAATAATAATAACCTGGAGGTCCATGATTGTACAAACAAATCAATGGAGTCTATGCTATGATGTCAAACATTATGGAAAAACTCAGGACAGTTTCTTCAAAATTAAACCCCGAAGATAGTTCTTAGAAGAAATGAATGTATTAGTGGAGTCCAGGCACTTTGTGCCATGACAGCTGATCAGGGATCATCCATGATTTGTCCTGAATGGGGAGAGAAAGATCATCCTACACTCGTGGTAGGAATAAAATGGTGACAATTCATTGAGGAGCAGTGGGGAAGCCTTGCTGAGTGGTGTCTTCTGCGTCAAGCAGGAGAGAAAAGGGTCTTTTGATTAGCTCTCCTTCAAAGGATTACCAGTCAAATGTCAACAGAGGTGTGACAAATCAATAAAGCCTTTGGGATGAAGCTTGTTTGTGTGATTAAGAGACACAATATGGAATCAGAAAGATATGTGTGCCCTGTAATTACATCATAAAGGCATAATGAACATATCTGTTTGATATTCTCATCATTCCATATGAAGGTCCTACAGCCTCACTTTGCAAGGTATGCTAGAGAGTGCATGGTTTATTCCTTCATCATTAAAGTTAATGATGAGGAGACTAACACCAGCACATGATGCCCGTTACAGCAGCATTAGCCATTGACCAGCCTGTGGTCTAGAGTAAGAAAGATGCAGGGGATCTTCCTAAAGGTTTGGAGGGTCTGAAGAATTATACTAAGTGTCTGAATGGCACACAGAAGTGTTATATATACACATCGCATTTAAAAGTCAATACATGCTTTTACTCTATTTCGTATTATAACTATGTATTGTGTACTTATTGAAAATTATTTGTTGAAATAGTATGCCTAATCAAGACATAAGAATTTGTGTCCTCAGAACATTATGAACCAACATATTTTCCCAGTGATGTCCTTGGTGATTAAAAATGTGTAGAAAGGAGAGATGAGTTAAAAGGTAAGAACGCAGCAAGGTAAATGAATATAGAAATCTCACTGAACGCAGTTATAAAGCATTTCATGGATTTTTAAATCACTGCATTCAGACATGAGCAGCAGCCGTGAAGAAAGAGCGAAAAAGTAAATCAGAAAATGACCAGGACTGATGTACATCAGCCAGAGAAGAATATATTGTAAATGATACTACTGGTATTTCTTTGAAATATTCAGTCTTACTGCTATGGGCTTAAAATAAATGGGCTTTTTACCTCTCTCAGAATTCTTTGGATTGCTTCAGGAGGAATGTAGGACTTTTGCCTTTAATTTCTTGTATTTGACCGTAATTGAATAATAATAACAATACTGTCATTCGTCCAGTTGGTTGAGTCAGCTTGTTAGAACTTGGATTGTGCTGATAATTGATCGTTAATTCAGTATTTTGACACTTTCTAAATACCACCAATAAAATCACATCTCTTGGTCCAGCATAACTGGACATTTTCCCGCAATTAAATGACATTTAAGTGAGGGAAAATGTCCAGTTATGCTGGACCAAGAGATGTGAATTCTTTTAAATAAAGGTTCCCGATCCAAGGATAGGATGCATCAAATGCAAAACGTTGAAGGCAGCCGGCTTTTTCATAGTTGGCGATAAACCGTGTATTGTCCTCTTTGTAATCATCGTTTGAGTAATTTAAAAACTATTACATCAGTCAGTAAAGTTCAAATGCATCATATTTAGTTCCGTTTCTGTCACAGGGGTGCCAGCTCTCACGCATCTAGCGCGACACGCATTTTAAATCTCACGCTCACACAGGAAATCTTCCGGCAAATCTGTATTATTCCATTATAAAATTGGCTACATCGAAAGCGATGGGGCAGTTCGCAAAGCCTACAAAATATATTTGCAAGGAAATAAAACTTACACCTAAAAACGCATGCAGACTTGTCTAAATTGAAAATCTCACGCCAGCCAGCTGATCACAGTTGGCAGCCCCGCTGTCAAATAATTGAATCAATGATGTATAGTTTCAATATGTGGTCAGCTGGCTGTTTATGAAGTTAGTATTGATCGATTCCTAATATAGGACTTAACGATGCTTTCAAAGTTACTTTTAAGTTATGAGAATGAGTGATGTATATTAATGTGTCTTCGGGCAGTTATATGAAAAGCAGGGTTGGGGCCATTCCGGAATGCATTGATCAATTCCAGTCCAAATCAGGAAATGGAACTGGAGCTGGGATTGGAAAAAAAACTACAGGGAAGGGAATTGGAGTTGAATTTGAATTTCAGGGAGATTAAACTTCCAACTCCAGTTCCATTTCCAGATTAGTAAGCGTAGCACACTGGCTCCCCAAGAGACCTTCCAACTGACCTCCGGATCATCAGTGAACGTTTCGATATCATTACTTGCGAATTTAAAAATGATATGTGAACCGCTCTGGATTTCAGGCACTTTAAAATGCGTGTATATATGGGTGTGCCTGTCACTAGTACCACTAAATATGACCATGTTTGCAATCGCGTGAAAAATACTGAGTATTTAGCTTGTAGAGAGGGGCAGATAAAGGCAGCTGCCTATGGTCCTATCGCCCCGGGGGGCAGATAAAGTTCGAATGGCGAAATCAGTCTATGTTTATGATGCTGAAATTGGTCTCACATAAATTAGCAGGCTGCAGTGGTGACAGACTAGCTACACATACAGTCCACTGACATCAAACAAAAAATTCCACATCTAGGGAATAAATGGTCCGTCTCCGTTAAAGTTGATATTATTGTTGCTAGTTTTAAAAAACAGAACAACGACATTTCTGTCCATCTTACAACCGCTGATCTAGTACAGGATTGCGACAATGTCGTTTTCAATATAGACATATTTTGTTTGGTTTACTGCCATCTGGCGGAAGGACAGACACCACGCAGCTTCCGCTGTACACGCAGTGGGGATAGGTCCCGTTTATTCTGTACAATTTCTCAAATGCAGTCATACTTACACAACTTCATTGCCTGTAACACGTATGCAATTATTCTTCTTTTTCACATTAGTAAGTTTCAATCTATATGGCCACCCCCAAAATAGCTTTAAGATTTCACTTGTGCACAGAAGAAATTGGCTAATGATTAAAAACTGAATTGTGTGCTGTGATCAAATATTCTTTTTTTTAACAGAGGCTTTTGTAAATAATGGGATGATCACCACACACGCACCAACAGAAGTGTTTTTTTCCCCAAATTGTCTTAAATCATTAGATAATTACAATGATGAACAGATAAGCGGTAGTACTCACACACAAGTGAGCCTCTTACCAGGTGTTCTGGAAAATTTATATAATTCCTCATACGACTGTCACTGTCAGGCTATATGAATGCAGCCATTTATGTACAAACACATTTCATCTTCCCGTGGGACTTTTAACGGGACCTTCAATCAAAGGCTGGAATTCTTCCCTCATATGATGCACATTGCACTTTTTAAAATGATCATTTTGCTGCTAATGACCTCAAACTAATCTATTTTTGGAGCTTCTGGACCTAAACATCAGCGTTAAACTAAACAGTCTTCAACTATTCAGTTGGAATCTGAAGCTTCATGAGTGCCAGCAGTAATCTGCGGTAGCCACTTTCTGTTGTTTTTTTCTTTTTTTTCCCCAGAATATAACCTACCAAAGGCTACAAAGCGGAGCGTGTCGGTCCACTGTATTAAGCCTGAGAGCAGACACCGGAAATGGAAACACGGCAGACAAATCAAATCACGAGTCCTTGGTTTTATGGTTGGGTTCATGCAGCCAGTTTGTACGCAGTGAGTGAGGAGGCAGGCAGACAGACCCCAGCCGGATGAGAGACTACAGCCCAATGCTCATTAACAACCACAAAAGTTTTCACAAGGGTGTAGATCTGGGTATGCAAGTGGACAGACGCATCGTGACTTTGAGGGGTGGAGGTGCTGGAAAGCCAGTATTGCAGAGACTGAGCAGCTGTTATTATCCAAAAAAATAAGTGAAATTAGTCAGAGGCAGGGGCTATGAAGGCTGAGAGCCTAGCAGTCGCTCGATGGCCGCATTGACGTCACCCCCGGTGGCAATGAGGGCCTGGAGGTTAGCCTCGCGGTTCAGGAAGCCCATGGCGTTCAGTTGGTCTAACTGCTGCTGGAAACGGACCTCTGGACTCTGGACCTACAGTGGAGACAGAGGTGTTATGTCAAGGGTCCATCCATCCATCCATCCATATAATGGCTCTGTCACTGATGATGCCAGGAATACAGCCTTCGGTGCTATTCCAGTGGTCTCCAAACAATATGGGCTGCAGGCTGGAAATACAGCTTTGTGACAAGGTGGGAGAACATTGTAATCGGTAAACATACGCACCCACTGGTAAGCTGTACTGATTATAGGGACAGGTGGACCCCACGCCTTACCTGGGAGCTGGTGCTTGCCAGGGCCTGCAACATCTGCTGCACAAACTGCTGCTGTCGACTGGCTTCAGCTCCGGCCTGAGAGCTGCCCGGGTCTGCTGAGGCGGGGGCTGATGCAGGGTTGCCAGCTGTGCCTACAGCTCCCCCCAGGACTGCGCTCAGGGGCCCCATTCCCAGCCTGATAGGAAAATGCAACCACCACGGACATTAGAGGACAGGTGGCACGCTTCTAAGCAGGCTATAGCACCACCCACTGCATTTAACAGTGAAAGACAGTGCATAATGGGACAGATCATTTATAGCTGTCTAAAGAAGCACACTCTGCAAAGTCCATTCAGCTGGATCACTTTCGTACCGATAAGGGTCCTGTAGTATTAATAATGCTCCCAGAACCACAGTTTTTGTATCTTCCACAGTGCACCAGTACTTCAGGGTATTCAGTACAGTGCTGAACACAGCTTAAGAATGCATTAAGAATAACTCATTATACAAGGACCACTAGCAACAATAACAGTCGAGTCCAAATTCAATACCTGCGTATCGTATTGTATGGGCTTTGGGGAAGCAAACGAGGGACAGCACACGACTGTCTGGCTCACCCGGGCATGAAGCCTGGTACCTCAGTGGCCAGCGTCTGCAGCCCCTGCTGGATCTGCAGCAGAGCCTGCATGGCGCGCGGGTTCGACATCGCCGACAGCATCTCGGGATTCTGCATCTAGAAGGCGCAGCGGCAGAAAGAGAAAAATGAAACGAATCACAGCACAGCCTGCCCGCACACGTGCCAACGACGTGCCGGCTGGCGTGGAGCAGAAGGCGTCTGGCCTCCAGAGGGAGATTTTCATGGTTCGGGAACAATTACCTGCTGTAGGAAGACAGGGAGCTGCTGTCTCATCTGCTGCTGTAGTTGGGGGTTTCCGGCAAACAGGGGATTGTTCAGAATCATCTGAAAAACACCTGCCAAGTAACCAACCACTGCCACTGGGAAGAGCCTCTGCTGCTCCAAGCACATGCGCATACGGGACTCACGCAGGAGCGCATTACACAATACTGGAGTAAATGCGATGGTGACAGCAGGGAGGAGACCGTCTACGTACAAATACAAAGACAATGTGAAACATCGTCACCTGGGCTGCAAGGTCCGGGTTCTGGCTTAGGCTGCTCATCAGGCTCCGCATGTACGGAGCAGACAGCATGTTCTGCATCAGCTGTGGGTTGTCCGTGATTTGCTGCAAGAGGCTCTGCATTCCCGGCGTATTGAACATCCCCGCTGGGTGCAGATACGACACAAAGTTTATTTCGGTGCATAAATGGGGGTTTCCGATGCCACGCACAGAATCTTTTTAAAAGCTTTATAAGGTAGGGTTGTTGATGTACCTCCCATAGCAGGTCCCAAGATGGCCGTGGTGCTGGCCGGTGCAGCGGCAGGGGGGGGCGCAGCAGTAGGGGGGGGCGTGCTGCTGGCCGAGGCAGCGGCTGGGGC